TCAACACCTTTGGACTTTTTCTTATAGGGTTTCTTGAAGAGCAAAGTTTTTAAAACCAAACCGGCAAATATTGAGGATTTAAAAGAAGGAATAAGACAGGAGTGTAGGCTAACTTCCGGCAAAGTAATCAGAAATGTTCAAAACGAGTTTCAGTTACGTTTAGGGTATTGTCAGTTAGTGAATGGACATTTTAAACACTTGTTAATGAAAGACTATTGATCAATTTGTGAATTAGATAATGTTTGTGGAATATCTTTCAAAAGACAAGGGGTAAAAAATGAAATTTGGCAGGCATGTGCAACTTGTTGAAGTCATTAAAAAAAGGGTTGTCATTTAAAAAAAATATCGATGACGTTATATCTCATATTTGAGACACACTGTGTAATTTTTGTTGCATTAAAATAAGGGCACTTTAAAATACTAATCGACGTGTCCGAGCATATTTCCGAAAGAAACAACACCTTTGATTTAGAGAATTTCTTCCATGTTAGAGACTCGCACTGTTTGAAGTATCATTTATATCTTTTTTGAATATCGAGATTGCGTCAAAAAATAAATCTGCTGTAACAAGATATTCACTGGCAATCCGACAAAGTCGATAAATAGGACTATTATGACTTATATTTGACTAAGGTGTTGGAGAAACATAAAGAACGTTGTATTATTTTTTTCAAATTAGGAGATAGCTTAGATAAAAATTGAATACAGTTAACTTTCCCATTGATCACCTTGTAAATGAAAATTAAACTGGCTATTCAGCATGTCCCCCTCGTAATGTTTTGAGGATTTTCCATTGCAGTTTTATTGGTTCATTTTCAAAAAATATCGCTTTCTAGGTCGGCATCACTAAGAAATCAATAATCGAAAAGCACATTTGTAAATAAGATATTCAATGGTTTACAGTATAAATGAAAAATATTAATTTATACCTACACTTTCAAACTCAAATACAGAACTAAATGTTTTTTTGAGAGTGATGATTGGCATCCTACCCAGAACAACATACTGTAATAAATACTGATTCAAAATACTTCAATAAACACTATGGTAGGACGTTTTATCTGTTGAATAACAGATCAACTCGGACAACGATACAGGCATAAAGCTAGTCGACTACAAAGTCAGAATTCTGAGATACAAGTCAGAATTCTGACTTGTATCTCAGGAAATAATAATGATACATTCAGTATTATAAGGCAGTTTTTAAAGTCAGAATTCTGACTTACAACTCAGAATTCTGAGATGAAAGTCAGAATTATACAAATCGAAAAAAATATTTTTGTGTGGCCCTTCAACGCTTTCGTACTTTTCAGACCAAAATTCAGATTGATTAATTTACTAACATGTTTTGAATATCGTAATTGAAAACTCTATTCACTGAAAACATTCAATCCTATAAACTAAAGAAGATATCGTCTACACAAGAATCAAGGAACTTTTTAAAAAACTATTCCATTTTGATCAGAGAGCCAAATATGTTATTGAATAAATATTTCACTATGTTAACTAGCATTTCATTATTAGAGTTACAGAAACAAAAATCTATTTTTTTGGCTGAAAGTTCAAATTTCCCTAGAAAGTTTGTCATGATTATAAAAATTCAATAACAATTCTAGAACTGTGTTCCGATCCATTTGACAGCATCATGAATTTTTATTCAGTCGAGTTTAGTTTAAATATGTTTTAACTCAATCACTATATGTCTACAGAATTCACTATTACATAGATCAAAGTATCACCAATAATAAAGTTCAAACTGAAAAATTCCAATGATTTCACAAATTTCATTTATATACAAAATAAATAACAATGCATCAAATCTTGATAACTGAAATTTGATCGATACATTTCAATCATCTACGTAGTTATTTTATCATCAAATTATGTGCAATTTTTCGGTATTGATCTATCAATAGTTTCAAATGCAGTTCGAAGTCAAATTCGAAATATATACTTCACTCACATGAATTTCATTCGTTCTGTATGATTATACTTCCATTTACCAACAAATCAAATACTAAGGCATTTGAATTTCTCATAATGATTAACGTGAGAAAAGATGTAGACGGATAACAAATAAAAGTAATCTCTTTAATTAATACTTTACTTCTCAGACAACGCACGAGACAATGTAGAGAAGGTTGGCCATGGACAAAACTCTTATTTTCATAGGCACTTCTGATGTTACAGAAAGATAAAGATTATTTATTCTTCGTTATCAGCAACAAACAATTTCTAATCTTCCGCATGTTTTGAAGTGAACATTTATGCATGAGAGCACTGAACTTAGAGCGATGATTTCTTTTTTTTTAATATATCGAATTGTTACTGTTTAACGGAAAAACAGATTTTAAACAGACGGACAGACATATATTCATTGAAAGACGTTTTTGTGGATAAGTCATTGTCGAATTCTTCGAACACACTGCAGATTTCATTGAAATTGGACAAAGGTACCGAAATGCAGAACGTTCAGTAACTTGAATGACATCACACGGTGAAGGTAAGACCTCGTCAGGCTCTAGATCGCACAAGTTTTTGTCATTCCTATGGGTTTTGTCACAGTAGCTCACGTTATGGCCGGAAGTACTCAGTTTCTTCCTTATGATTTCAGTTGTAGGAATCTCATTGCTTTTCTAACAGTCGTCTATTGGTTTTTTTCAATGATTTTATTAGATGAACATCTAAAGGTTTTGGTAATCCCGCATCACATCGCGTCTTCCGTTCATAAGATTTGTTTTTGACTATTTTACGTACAGTTGAGAAAGGAATTTCGGTCAAATCTGATGTTGCTTGTAATAGTTTGTTTCTCTTGAAACCAAACTTGAGATGTAGATTCTCATATACATTGAAACATACTCTCTGTGTTTCAATATTCAAATGCATCTGATTCTCATTTACTGGTATCTCTTTTTCGCATTATTCACCAAAAAGTCTGCGTTGTTATCACACTCGTTATTACTATTAGTACTTGTTCAAGGACGCCACACTTTAAACAGATAACAAAAATTTTAGGCAAATATAACCGCACCAATATCGAATTTCAACACTCAAATCACGATCAGTTTCTGAACTGAACACGACAGCGATAACATTCCCCGATTTCTATTCTTCACCGTAACATGACTTTAAATTTGATTTTATGACTCTTTAGCCAATCATAAAACTCGGTTAGTAAAAATTGTCCAATACGAACCGCCAAGTCTACAATCCACGTGGACTAGTTCGGCTTTCTGTGTATTGGTTTTTTGGTCTTCGAGAGTGCCGCCAACTTTAAATATGCACAATATCGTTTACTTCAACTATAATATAATAATGTAAACTCAATGAAACATAGTGACGGGAGTTATAACAGAACATCCACTAATGATAGAAAAAAAACTATTGGCTGAGAAACGAAAATTTCGACTAACCGAACTATTATCTTTATGTACGTGAACGGCATGAAAAATCTAAGGTTAGCATGGGAAAATCGAAAACCGTACGAGATACAAAGTTGCTAATTCTTTTTTCCTGTCCTTATAAAATACTTGAATTGGTGATGGTTTCTCGGCAAGGAAACGTAGGAAACGTGAAAATCTGTAAACGCCATCTTATAAAGTTTGAAAAGTGGCAATGATAAAGTGTCTTTTATCTTCCGTTGGTGGCTCCAAATCGCTACTCATTTCTACTGACTGCATGGCAATATAATTATTTTAGAAAGTACCTATAATATCGCAGTAACACAAATATGTCTTAGTATGTTTGAATGTGTGATTTCGGAGACTGCAACGCATTCTGATTGCGATATTCATAACATCGTTGTTGATTACTTTCCATCATAATCAGCCATTCTTCTTTTATTTTGAAACCTCATTGCGAGTCGAACTAACTGTTGATTGGAAAAAAGAGTCCTAGAAGTTAATCAGTTCTGGTCCGAATAACACACTTGACATTCACCGTATGATTGAACACAGAACAATGCCCTGAATTTGAAATACGGTACTGATTCGAAGAGCTCAAGGAACAAAAAATTTCCTTTCAGATTTCACATTGAAGGAATTTGACTGGAAAAAATTTTGGGGAACAGTAAGTGTCGTAAGAAAACTCTGAAGATATTCAGATGAATAATTGGAATGTTTCAGTGTGAAAAATAGAAAGGAACTACTTGCTTGTGGAAGCCGAGAATGTATAATTACAGTCGTTGAACCTAGTTATCGATACCTACCTTCAACTTTTCGAGAATGCATTCTACAAATATTCTTTGCAAACAGTTTATCCAAAAGTTTTCAGCACATATATCAAAATTTTGTTTAATTTATTGTTAGCATGAAAATTTTAAATTAGATCATTCATAGCATATACCTTACAACAAACAAGAACTATGATCATTGTGGTTTGTGACAATAAAACATTTCAATAATGTATACAAAGCCCGTTAACGATAACATGAGGGCAACAGCTAGTTAACGGAAATACAGACTTTAGAGATTTCATCTGGAGCTGAAAACTGAACGACCAATAACTCTGATAGTCAAAAAGTAATACATCAGGCCTATTTGCTTGTATGAGTTTGAGGATGGGAAAGGGATAGTTCCGATAAATTGTTCATCATCATTATTTCTATCGAAGATTAAGCTAGGCTGTCCCTGTCCCCGAAGACCTGATATATTCGGGAAGGGACACCAGAATCATCAACCAATGACCACTTTCCATACCATGGGTTAGTTATTATTATTATTTGAAACAAGTACTTTCCTCTGTAGATATTGAAATTAATGTCATGTCTTCTTCCGCATTTTATGTATAAAAACTTTAATATGAGAACTAAAGCAGATATGATTCATTGAAAATATAATGAATTAAAAGGTATTTGTGAAAAATTCCAGATGGAATGAATGAATAAAAATATAACTCGTAACAAATATTTGATGAAAATATTCATCGATATCAAACCCAAGCTGGATGCGACTGATACAAAAAATCACTAGATACAAGATAAACGTTGTTTTTGTTTTCAGGTGGTGCTTCTGTGCATCCTATTGATGATTCCCGTATATGCGGTAAAACCTCCAGGATACGTAGAACCAAAAAAAGAAGAAGACCCAGTAAGTATCCCTTTGTGAATTTTAATAGACACATATGGGTTATTCGTAGGTTTGAGAAACGATGCACAATGAATTATTGTTGAACACTTTTCAAAATTCAATTGCAAAATCATTAGACTCCTGAAGTGAAATCGTCATTTACCACTAAGAGTTAATATTCAATAATGAATGGAGTAAATTATTACTCATCAAATACTACAAAGAGTAGGTAATAATCAATGTATTTCTTTCCACTGATTGGAAGTGCAATTCATTAGGTTTATAAAGAACGTGATATAACGACTATAACAAAATTTTGTCAAGAAATAAGCAGCCAAGCGTAATCAAAAATTTCGATAAACATGTACCGAGTGAGCCAAATTGGATACTTCTAAAAGGAAACTCCGGTTTTCGAACTAGATAGATGAAAACTAATGGGATTCAAAGTTTATGACAAATTTAATGGTGGAAACTGTAAATGTGTGTTGTAACTTTATTCCTTCCAGAAAATTCTTGTTTCTATGAAAAGCACTTTTTCACGTAGAATTCAATGAAGGAAAAAATGAGATATCAATAGTTATTGATGGAAAACTATTTTTGTTAATGAGCCACCCTATATATGAAACAGAAAGACATTGTTCAGTAGTAGCTATCAAATGTTGAGAACATCTTTTACAGCGGTGATTAAAACGCATGGTTTCAATAAAACTGATACGATAATGATAATGATGAAGAACAAACAATGAAATATATTTCTTCAGAGAAAGTATTCGAAACGTCTACCAGCTTCTTCTACACTCACGCGACACCTTTTGTAAACGTTTTTCGCCAAATTAATCAGTTCAATAGGAGTGAAAGAAGCCAAACGTTGCATCACTGCCACTTCCAATTCGTATCTAGTATTGTTCTGCAATTCGAAAATAAGATCTTTCATTCTTCGCAAGAGATAATTGTCCAAAGGCGTTAGGTCCGGTTACCTGGCCGGCCAACGGTTGGGTCCTTGGTTAGCTATCCAATTATCACCAAAATTTGTAGCCAAAGAATTGTTAACCATTGCAGTATTGTAAGGCGAAGCCCCGTCTTGTTCAAAATATATTTTTCTGAGTACCACTAACTAACTAACTAATATTAATATACTGGGGTCTATGGAATGGTTATGTTGCAAAATATGTGTTCCTTATATCTTATTTTTTTGTCTGTCCATAATATTGTGCATCGCAGTCCTTACATTTGATTTCGTAAATTCCAAATTCTCGACTTTGTCTTTTGGATTTCTTAAAGGCTCTATAGTGTATGACTTGTTTTCAGAACCACCTTCATACCTAGTCCCTTGAAAATATTTTTAAAGTCCTCGTGTGTGTATGGTATGGACCTGAAATATATTTATCTTGGTTTTTGTCGTTTTTAAAAGTCGAAATTTTGTTCATTCTCAACATAAATGATTTCTTCCTTATTATATCATTTACAATACCCCTCGACAAATCGCTACTATTTCCTGTATTGTACGTTATTCTTTTGTTAACTTCTCATGTTTGAGGCACGTTTATACTGTCAACAGTGATGTGAACTGTCAGGAATATACCTGTTCGTGCTTGTTTTCCTTTCTAAATACATCGTATTCTAGCCCTCCTCGTTAGCTCCTCATTACCAAAACGTCAAGAAATGCATGCTGTCCTTTATTTTCTAATTCATACGTGAATTTTATTGATGGAAATAGTTTATTTAAAAAGGAAAAAAGTTCTCAATATTAGATTTTTTGTAATCGAATATCGCAAAACCATCATTCAAATACTTTAGCCATATCCTAGGAAAATACTTTGACTTTTCTTTGGTTTCCATTACAAATCTCCTCATGAACAGGTTTGCCAGGTAGGGGGACAAGGAGTTATTCATAGCCGTTCCCTCCTGTCGTTCATAAATGCAACCTTCTACCTGGAAACGGTTTTGTTTCATACACAAATGATTGATAGACACGAATTCATCAATTTCGTTATTATTGAAATTATTTCTCTCTAGTAATTCCCTGAGGAATCGTAAGGTCTCTGAAATTAGGACGCTAAGATATAAGGAACTAACATCAAAGGAAACCAAAATCTCAACCTCTTGCAGAAGTTGAGATTTTGGTTTGTTGTATGAACTCTAAGGAGTTTTTGATACTAAAACCTGGTTAAGCAATAGGCAAGCTTTCAAATTCCTTAGTGAGCCATTTTGCTATTTGGTAGGTAAGAGATCCAATAGCTGACACGATGGGGCGCATTGATTTTCCCGATTTGTGGATTTTTGGGAGGCAATATAGTTTCGACACCGTTGGGTTGGAAACATGTAAGTTCCGTTTCATTTGAGGGGTAAGTATATTGTCGCATTCCTTGAGGACATCTATTACTTAAGCAATCATCTTTGATACCAGGTTCCTGGACAATTTCGCATACGGCCCGTTAGTGATGGAGCATTGGTCCTTTCGTAGTAGTCCACTTCATTCAGAATTACTACTTTGTTACCTATGTTGGCTTTCAAACGAAAAACGTGTTTGCCTTTCAATCGCTTGATGAGTTTATTTGGTTTTTATCGTCTCTTCTTAAATATTTCCGTATATCTGTCATCATGTTGTTGTAAATATGATTCCTGACTTTCTCCCGGACTAGTCCCTTCGAAGAATCAGACATATATTGAATGGAACTTTCAACATCAGCAACGATATCCTCAAGGACTTTCTCGGAAATCGGGGTGCCAAATTTTGAGCCGTTGTTCAGAAGGTTGATCTCTTCCTTATCAAATGATTGTGATGAATGATTTTCTACAATATTTGTGAATTTCGAAGTGGCTTCTTTTAGTTGATTCTTAGATATAAGGGTTTTGAGTTTCTTATTCAGCGTACACAATTTCCTGATATATTTTGATTCAATCATCTAATCTATATGTTAGTTTTTTATATAGACTATAGCTATCTAATTCTAAGAGAC